TGAATATGGTCTGCCCAGGCCAGATTACAACGGAACTATCAGTTCTTTTGCTAAATGACTTCTCGTCCCTCTTCTAGAGCAGTGTGAGGTTTCCAAGAGCTTTTCTCAGCTGTTGTGCCATTTCTTTGGCTCCATTGGAGCATCTGGATCCCTAAACTCTCTGGATCATGATGAACTGCTCTAGCTATCCCTCTTCCTTCTTCTGCTTGGGAAGCTAAGCCCAAGTATATGTCATTTACTCCTATTCCATTTCATTTTGTGAAATCAAGCTTATCATTCTAACCTCTTGAGTGAAATTTTTTCTGTATCCTGACACAACCACCCAACATGATAGCAATCTGAAATCTGTAGAATTCATCCTATGCCCTCATCCAAGACAAGGACCAACATGTCAAATAGCACAGGACCAAGGAGAGATCCCTGAAGTCATTCCGCAGTTGATGGACATCCCCTCAATTTCCAATTCTTTGCCACCACAAAAAGAGCTGCTATAAATATTTTTGCACATGTAGGTCCTTTTACCTCTTTTATGATCTCTTTGGGATACAAACCTAGTAGGGGTATTGTTGGATCAAAGGGTACACACAATTTTATAGCCTTTTGGAAATAGTTCCAAAGTGTTCTTTGGAATGGTTGGATCAGTTCACAGCTCCACCAACAGGGCATTAGTGTCCCAATTTTCCTACATCTCCTCCAACATTTATCATTTTCCTTTTCTGTCATATTAGCTAATCTGATAGGTGTAAAGTGGAACCTCAGAGTTATTTTAATTTGCATTTCACTGATCAATAGTGATTTAGAGCATTTTTATATGACTATAGATAGCTTTAATTTCTTCATCTGAAAACTGCCTGTTCATATCCTTTGACCATTAGGGAATGACTTGTAGTCTTATAAATTTGACTCACTTTTCTATATATTTGAGAAATGAGGCCTTTATCAGAGACACTGGCTGTAAAAATTGTTTCCCGGTTTTCTGCTTTCCTTCTAATCTTGGTTGTATTGACTTTATTTGTGCAAAAACTTTAAGTTTTCCCCCACTTAATAGTATTTTTTTTCCAATTACATGTAAAGATAGTTTTCAACATTCATTTTTATAAGATTTTGAGTTCCAAATTTTTTTGCCCTCTCTCCTTCCTCTTCCCCCTCCCCCAAAAATAGGCTCTACATGTATAATCATATTAAACATATTTCCCCATTAGTCATGTTGTGAAAGAAGAATCATAATGAAAGGAAAAACCACAAGAAAGAAAAACAAAAAACAAAAAAAGAGAAAATAGTATACTTCAATCTGCATTCAGACTCCATAGTTCTTTCTCTGGATGTGGATAGCATTTTCCACCATGAGTCTTTGGGAATTGTCTTAGATCATTGTATTGCTGAGAAGAGCTAAGGCTATCAAAATTAGTCATTGCACAATGTTGCTATTACTGTGTACAACATTCTCCTGGTTCTGCTCACTTCACTCAGCATCAGACCATACAAGTCTTTCTAGGTTTTTCTGAAGTCTGCCTGTTCATCATTTCTTATAGCACAATAGTATTCCATTACATTCATACACCACAACTTGTTTAACTATTCCTCAATTGATGGGCATCCCCTCAATTTCCAATTCTTTGCTACCACAAAAAGAACTGCTTTTTTTTTTAGGCATTTGGGGTTAAGTGACTTGCCCAGGGTCACACAGCTAGTAAGTGTCAAGTGTTTGGTCTGAGGCCGGATTTGAACTCAGGTCCTCATGACTTCAGGGCCGGTGCTCTATCCACTGCACCACCTAGTTGCCCTACAAAAAGAACTGCTATAGATATTTTTGTACATGTGGGTTTTTCCCTCTTTATCTTGTTGGGATACAAACCTAGTAGGGGTGTTACTAGATCAAAGAGTATGCACAGTTTTATAGCCTTTGGACATAGTTCTAAATTGCTCTCTAGAATGGTTGAATCAATTCACAACTCCACCAACAATGCATTAGTGTTCCAATTTTCCCTCATCTTCTTGTTGTGAGGATCAAATGAGATAGTATTTATAAAGTGCTTCGCACAGTGCCTGGCACATAGTAGACATTATATAAATGCCCTTTCTCTCCCCCCCATAATGTTATGCAATTGAATTTTTTTATGATAATTTTTATTTATTTTTTTGTTGTCAACATTTACTTTGGCAAGATTTTGAGTTCCAAATTTTCACCCCATCTTACCCCTCCCCCCACCTCAAGATGGCATGCCTTCTAAATACCCCTTCCCCTAGTCTGCCTTCCCTTCTATCTCTCCCCCCTTCTCTTATCCCCTTCCCCTTCAATTTTCCAGTAGGGCAGGATGGATTTCTGTACCCCATTTCCTGTATTTCTTATTTCCCAGTTGCATGTGAAAACTTTTTTTTAAACATGTGTTTTTAAAACTTTGGGTTCCAAATTTTCTCCCTTCCTCCCTCCCCACCCACCCTCATTGATAAGGCAAGCAACTAAATATAGGTTATATATGTGCAGTTATGCAAAACACTTCCATAGTAGACATGCTGTGAAAACTAACTCTATTTCCCTTAATCCTATCCCACCCCCCCCTTTATTCTATTCTTTCTTTTGACCCTGACCCTCCTCAGAAGTACTTGCTTCTCATTACCCCCTTTCCCAATCTGCCCTCCTCTCTATCATCCCCCTACTCCCTTGTCCCCTTCTCCCCCCCTCCATTTTCCTGTAGGGTAAGACAGATTTCCATACCCAATTGAGTGTGTATGTTATTCCCCCCTTAAGTTAAATTCTATGAGAATAAGATTCACTCATTCCCTCTCACCTTCCCCCATTTCCCCTCCACTGTAAGAGCCTTTTCTTTTCTGGGTTTTTTTTTGTGAGATAATTTACCCTGTTCTACCTCTCTCTTTCTCCTTCTCCTAGTATAATCCTCTCTCACCCCTTAATTTTATTCTCCAGATATGACCCCTTAATTTTCAACTCACCCTGTGCCCTCCATCTATCTATCTATATCTATATATACATACATATAATTTTTTCCCCTCCAACTACCCTAATATTGACAAAGGTCTCATGAGTTACAAATATCATCTTTCCATGCAGGAATGTAAACAGTTCAACCATAATAAGTGTCTTATGATTTCTCTTTCCTGTTTACCTCTTCATGTTCCACTTGAGTCTTGTATTTGAAAATCAGATTTTCTATTCAGCTCTGGTCTTTTCATCAAGAATGCTTGAAAGTCCTCTATTTCACTGAATGACCATTTTTTCTCCTGAAGGATTATACTCAGTTTTGCTGGGTAGGTGATTCTTGGTTGTAATCCTATCTCCTTTGCCGTCTGGAATATTATATTCCATGCCCTGCGGTCCTTTAATGTAGAAGTAGCTAAATCTTGTGTTATCCTGATTGTGTTTCCACAATACTTGAATTGTTTCTTTCTGGCTACTTGTAATATTTTCTCCTTGACCTGGGAACTCTGGAACTTGGCTACAATATTCCTAGGAGTTTTCCTTTGGGGATCTCTTTCAGGAGGAGATCGATGGATTCTTTCAATGTCTATTTTGCCCTCTGGTTCTAAAATATCAGGGCAGTTTTCCTGGATAATTTCTTGAAAGATGATGTCTAGGCTCTTTTTTTGATCATGGCTTTCAGATAGTCCAATAATTTTTAAATTCTCTCTCCTGCATCTATTTTCCAGGTCAGTTGTTTCTCCAATGACATATTTCACATTGTTTTCTAATTTTTCATTCTTTTGGATTTGTTTTACAGTGTCTTGATTTCTCATAAAGTCACTTAGCTTCCAATTGCTCTATTCTAATTTTTAAGGAAGTATTTTCTTCCGTAATCTTTTGGACTTCCTTTTTCATTTGTCCAATTTTGCTTTTTAGGGCATTCTTCTCCTCATTGGCTTTTTGGACCTCTTTTCCTATTTGGGTTAGGCTATTTTTTAAGGTGTTATTTTCTTCAGTATTTTTTTGGGTCTCCTTTTGCAAGCTGTTGACTTGTTTTTCATGATTTTCTTGCAAAACTCTCAGTTGTTCCTCTACTTCTCTTACTTGCTCCTTAAAATTCCTTTTGAGCTCTTCCAAGGCCTGGGACTGATTCATCTTCTTGGAGGCTTTGGATTTAGGAGCTTTGGCTTTATTGTCTTCTTCTGGTTGTATGTTTTGATCTTCTTTGTCACCAAAGTAAGATAATATAGTCTGACTGTTTTTGCACTGCTTACTCATGATCCCGGCCAATTACTTGAGTTTTAAACTCTCTGTTAAGGTAAAAGTCTGTTTCCAATGTGGAGAATGTACTGTCCCAAGCTTCAGGGGTTTGTACATCTGTTTTCAGAGATACTTCTAGGGACCTGAAAATTTTCAGTTCTTCCAAGGTGCTATGATAAGGGGCGAGGTGTTTCCTCTCTACTGCCACAAGCTTCACCACTCCAGCACTCCTCCTCACCCCAGGATCACCCCTCAGAACTGTGACCCAGATCCAAGCACAGGTAAAGCAAGAGATTCCTTCCTCAGCACTGGCAAAGAGATCCCTGCAATCCCCCTCTGATCAGCCGCTTGATTCCCCCTTGGTATGTGGGCCGGAAGCTCAGGAAAAAGCCGCGGCCCCAGGCTGCACTGGAAACTTGCGGCTGAGACCTAGCTCCTCTCTCACCGCAGTCACAGACTTTTCCCACTGACCTTCTAAGTTGTCTTTGGCGTTCGTGGGTTGAGAAGTCTGGAAACCACCACAGCTGCCTGCGATTCAGTCCTCTGAGGCCTGCTTCAGGGTCGCTGTGGCCTGCGCGCCCACACCGCACTGTGCTCCTCTCCCAGCTTGGTGCCATATGCCTTTCCGATCAGCCATCCAGGCTGTCTTTGGCTGGAAATTTGTTTTACTCTGTCTTTTTGTGGATTCTGCTGCTTTAGAATTTGTTTAGAGCCATTTTTTTTAGGTATTTGGAAGGGTTTGGGGGGAGAGCTCAAATAAGTCACTGCTTTCCCTCCACCGTCTTGGCTCTGCAATTGAATTTTTTAAATGAATATAACAGAGAACACAGGAGGTTAAAGTTGGAAGGGACCTTAATAACCAACCCCTTCATTTCATCAAGGAGAGACCCCTTCATTTCATCAAGGAGAGAACTGTGACCCAGAGAAGAGGTGACTTGCCCAAGGTCACACAGCTAGTAAATGTCAGAATCTGTGTTACAGCCCAGGTTTCCAGACTCCCAAAACAAAGCTTAATTTATTTTACCACTATGCCTCTAACACTTGCCCTGGTGATCAAATTAAATTATTAGGTGCTTTATATACTATATAAATAAATGTTCACTATTGCTGTTTAAGCAATCAAATTACAAGCATTTATTATGCACCTATTGTATGCCAAGTTCAGTGGTGAGAGACACAAAGAAAAAACCAAACAGTCCCTGCACTCCAGAAGTTAATCATCATCACCATCATCATCACTATCATCATTACGATCATCACCATCACCATCACCATCACCATCACTTCATAAACTGGTGGTATTTAAGCCCTGACAGGGGAGGTTCAGGGAAAGGAAGTATTTGGCACACTCTCAAAAAGGCTGAGACAAAGTTCATCAAGAAAGGCTATCCAAAGTAGCCACATAGCTATGTCCGGGACCCGGGAGGCTCCATTGTGGGTCACATAGCAGGTTGGTCCAACAGGAAATACTCCGTGCCTTCCAGGCCAATGGTTGGAACAAGGTGGCCCAACCTGCCTTAGATGTCTTCCCTTATGGTCATCTCACTAGAGGAAGAAGTACCCACCAGGACAATATTGCTTGTGGTCAGTGTCCAAGGGGTCCTCCATGCCAGGTGGCAACCCTTGTGCCAATTCCAACCATAGTAGCCTTGTACCTCATATGTGCAATGATTCTTGGACCAATGAGAAGAATCAGACTCCTTCCCCATTTTGTTCTGGGCATCCAGATAGGCATATACATAAATCTGTAAATTGTACTATTTAAAAATATTGCTGTTACAATTATATATACACACATGTGTTGTGAATATACTCACATGTATGTGCATGTGCATGCATATAGGTGATCTATATGCAAATGTGCACATCGCATATATGCGTATGGTGAAGGGGGAGGGACAGAAAATGAGACTGAGGAGAAACACAGAAGGAGACAGTGAAGACAGAGAAAAAGAGAGAGAGAGATACAGATAGATATAGAAAGAAGAGAATGTGAAGAATTAGGAAACACAGGAAATACACACACGCCATAAACCTTAACCTAAAGGAAGGCACTTTGTGCCCCTATTGAGATGATCCTTCCATGTCATCCACACTCTCCCCTTCTCTGTTGCTGTGCGAGGTAATGCTATCCAGCAGACTATTACAGGCCTGGGAAAGCTCCTCAAGTTTCCTTTCTAGCTCTTGAGCCTGTTGCCTCAGTTCTTCCGCCATTTCAGCCTTTGCCCCCTCCAGTACGTGGCTCAGATCATGAATGAAGGTGATCATGTCCACCAGAACCAATGCACCTGCTGTCACAGCGCTTGTCATCCTGCAGACTTTGGTCATGGCTAGGGGTGTGCCACTGAAGGCCTTCTGCACCTTCCGAGCACTCCGGGTTGAGACGGACCCAGTGGTCATTAAACTTTTGGCAGTCGTAGTTAAATGGGGGTTGGCTTTCGCCAAGCGGAAGGCACGAATGTTCTTTTTGATTCCTTTCATGACTTGTTTACCCTCAGAAACACACTTCTGAGCAACAGAAACAACTTGGGGGGCCTCCTGATACAGCAAGTCCACCGCTGCTTGTCCCTTGATCCCCTTAAGGTTGCTCACTCGCTGTCTCGCTGCTGAGTTGCTGGCGTGTTCAATGACGCTTGAGGAAAGAGTGGTGATAGCAGCTACCGCACCCAAGCCAATCCCAGAAGCTGAGAGGATCAAGCTTCCTCCTACTGTGACTGGCGCAAGAGCCAAGCCCAAGATGCTCATGACGCCAGAGAGGACGCTGGTGGAGTCCGCTACCACATTGGTGATGGCGCATTTCTTGTGGGTCTTGTCCACTTGGTCTGCAACAGCGTGGAGGCTGTGGATGCGCTCCTCTAGTTCCATCTTTTTCTCAGGAAACTCTTTCAGAAAGATTTTGTCCTCATCTGAGAGACCATCATCTTGCCAAATGGTGTCATCCAATAGCTTGTCTCCATATAACCCACACAGGGTCTCATAGAACGTGTTGGCCTCTTCCCTGTGAATGATTGAAGTCAAATGATTGATGATGATGCTATTAATAACAATAACGTTTATGTAGCACCTACTATGTGCCAGGCACTGTGCTAAGCACTTTGCAATTATTATCTGGTTTAAGCCTCACAATACCCTGGGAGGTAGGTGCTCTTATGATCCCCATTTCACAGATAAGGAAACTGAGGCAAATAGTGGTTAAGTGACTTGCCCACGGTCACACAGCTAGGAAGGATCTGAGGATGGATTTGAACCCGGGTCTTTTAACTCCAAGCCTGACACATTATCCACTATGAGCTGCCTCACTGCCCAAATAACGAAAACATTGGTTTTCTTTACTCGGATCATAGAATTTCAGAGCATGAAAGAAGTCTGTTAGAAAGGGAATCCTCTTGAGTCCTGGGTATTGGAGGCATCATGGAACAGGAGAACATGCACTTGATTGACCTTTTCAATCAATGGGTCAAGCTAATTAAACACCAACCACGGGTCAGACACTGTGCTAGGTGCTGGGGTTACAAAAACAAAATCCCCGTCCTCAGGAGGGTTATAATCTACTAGGATTGTCTTCTCTGGTTTCTAGGTTTCTCATCTGTGAAGGGATGTGGTAGTTCTAAATGAAAGTTGAGGGTCCCTTCCAGCTCTAAACCAATGGTCCTCTTCATGAAGGGCAGCGGGCTAGACCCTGGGGGAAAGAAAACACAGTCCCTACCCTCAAGGAGCTTACAGTCTAACAAGGAGACTTCTGAAAGCTAAAGGGATTGACCTTCGGGGCTCACTTCCAGCTCTGTAAGGAGAAAACCCACTTCTATCTGTTGCTATCAATTCCAAATAGCTGGTCTTTGGAAGAAGAAGTCAATTCTATCTACCTGAGCAAAAAGAAGATTGCTTCCTTGGGGTAGAGCATGGGGTGGGGAATGGGGACCTGGTATCCTTTTTGTTAAGGACCTCAGACCAGACTGAGGAGGTGGGGAGAGGAGGACCTTCCCTCTGTCTTTACACTAGACTCTGAGTTCTATCTTTTTTTTTCTTTAATTAAGTAATTAATTTTTTGTTTTCAACGTTCACTTCCATAAGCTTTTGAGTTTTAAATTTTCTCCCCCTACCTCCTTCCCCTCCCCCCTCCCCCAAAATGGCATGCAATCTGATATAGACTCTGAGCTCAATCTTATCCAAAACTTTCTACAGCACAGAGCCACCAGTACAGATACTTAAGAAATGTTTGCTGCCTTGAATTGAATGAAAACCTCTGAATGGTTCAGCCTGATGCCCAAGTCCACTCAGCCTTCAGCTGACATCTACCTATTCTAGCTGAGGCCCTCTCTTGGGGTACCACAAAGCTCCCCATTTCATTTCTGCCTTCATATCCCCAGTACCTGGCACATAGTGCAAAGGGACTGGACCGGTAATGTCACCGATATGAAGAACTCCCATCATGAGGAAATTCCTTCTACCGATGCTGATTGGTACGTTCTCTACGTAGGCTCAGCGGATTGCATAGAAAAGCACTGAGAGAGAAATGACTTGCTCAGGGCCACATAGCCAGTATAGTGAGAGGTGGAATTTTCTATGTATTTTGTATTTACCAATTTATGTACACATCATTTTCCCTGATAGAATGTAAACTTCTTGAGGGCAAGGCTGATTTACTTTTGTCTTCATATCCCCATTGTCCAGCAAACAGTAGGTGCCTAATAAATGCACATTGATTTGAATTGAATTCAGCTAGCTGTTCTCTCTGTTGTGAAGAAGTATTCTCTAGGTGTCTCTCTCTCTCTTTCTCTGTCTCTGTCTCTCTCTCTTCCACACACACAATTCTGACTTTCTCTCTGTGTGTCTTTCACTGTCTCTATTTCTCCCTTTTTATCTCTGCCTCCATCTCTGTCTCTCTATCTTTTTTCCTCTTTCTTCTCCCCTCCCTCCTCTTCTTTCTGGGATCTGCCATTGTCTTCTTTTATCTATGAACTCCATTCTTGGTCTACATTGATACCATGTCATGACCCTGGTAACTCTATTGAGCAACTTAGGTTAGTGTGCTAATTAACAATATCATTCTGGAACAAGGATGACTGATTTTTATCAGTTTCTGGGGAAGAATCAGATGGATGGTTATCCAATTGGCAGTGAGCATGAAGCTAGGAGGGAGAGATAATATGTTAGATGCCAGAGTCAGGATGTAATTTATAAGATCATAGATTTAGAATTTAAAAGGCCTTTAGGTGCCATCAGATTCAACCCATTCATTTTATAGATGAAGAAATTGAGTCTGGAAGAAGTTAAGTGACTTTTCCAGGATCACACACTGAATAAGTATTTGAGACAGGATTTGAACTCAGATCTTCCTGCCTCCAAGGTTCAGTGGTCTATCCACTGTACCACCTTAGTAGTGACACATAGTAGATGCTCAATAAGTTTGACTGATGATTGATTGATGATGTTGAGCCCTCAAGTGCCTAACTAAACACGAGTTTAAAAGTTTCTATGGTTATAAAGTTCATTGTCAGCCTGCGATCAATTTGATGTTGAACCTCTTCATACTTGGCTGAGTGGGTCCTTGGACAACAGACAGAGGGTCTGTGGCATAATCAACCTATGTCCAGCTTGAGAAGGTCCTGCTGGAGCTCACACTCTGTTGATATAATATCTAAGGACCCAGAGTCACTGCCACACTGTGCCAAGGCATTGGACGAGGATTGGTGAGGTGGGCTGGCATCCTGGGCTATATCACTCAAGGCCAATGAGGGAGAGAAAGATCATTGTAGTCTTTGCCCCCACCAGGCAAGATCTGAGACACCGTGCTCCCTTGGGGGTACTTCATTCTGGAAAAGAAGCTGATCAATATGGCGAGAGACCATGACACCCAATGACTGTTTCTGGAGAAAGGAAGACTCTGGTCCCTCTGAACTCTGCCATCCCCTTTCTAAGGGCCCTCCCAGCTCTGACATTCCTTTTCTAAGTCTCTTTCCATCTCTGACATTCCCTGTTCTAGGGCCCCTCCCAACTCAGTATTCTAGGTTCTTAGATCCCTTCTAGCTCTGATATTACATGATCTGAAGACATAAAAGTTATTTTTGAGTATGTGAAGGTTTACCATATAGAAAAAGTGTGTATTGAACTGGAATGTCTGGAGTCAAAGAGTAGGTTCAGATTCCACCTGTGACCCTTACTACTTCTGTGACCTGGACGAATCACTTACCTTCCCTGGGTCTCAGTTTCCTTATCTGCAGAATGAGGCGGTGGTATGACCTCTAAAATCTAGTTCTAGTTCTGAACCTATGATCCCTAACATTTCCAGGCCTTGTCTGTTTTCTCATCCATCATTGTAAATTTCCTCATCTGTAAAATGAAGATAACTCTAGCAACTATTTCCCAGAGTTATTGTGAGGATAAAATGAAATATTTGTAAAACTCTTTGCAAACCTTGAAGTGCACTATAAATGAGCTATTATTAGCACTAATTTGAGCTATGGAACCTAGAAACCCAAACCTAACAGAATGGCACCCAGATGAGTGAAGAATAATAATAATAATGATAATAATAATAATAATAATAATAATAATAATAATAATAATAATAATAGTAATAATGGTGACACCTACTGGCAAATTGTGACATTGCAGCCTAGTTCAATGAGACACTAAAATTATTCAGGCAAAAAGAAAAGGATAAATGAATCGCAGATCTTTATCATTAGAAAGCTCCTTAGAGGTCACGAAGGCTAACCACTCATTCTGCAGGTGAGGAAACTGAGACTGGGAGAGTAGACTTGACTTCTCCATCACCATGCGGCTAGTAAGTAGTGAAGGTAGCATTCGAATCCAAGCCTTCTGCCTTCAACCTGTGGTGCATTTCTACCGAATAACACTTCTTTTACTATAAGATGCTTGCTATGGGCCGCAGCTGGGTTGCATATGAAACCATTCAACCTCGGTTGGCCAATGGGATACCCCACTGGACACATCATTACAAATCTCTTCCTTGTTTACCTTTTCCTGTGCAGGTTTGAGAACGTTTTCATTTAAACATGATATAACCCCGAAGCCTTTTGACTGCTTAAGATTCAGATTTTGTGGTGACTTGCTTCACCACTCTGAGTCTCAGTTTCTACATCTAACAAATGGTCATAGTAACACTCATAGCACCTGCCTCATTGGGTTGTTATGAGACTTCAGTGTGATAATGTGTGTAAAGAGCTTTACAAACCTTAGAATACTATAGAAATGCCAGGTTTGGGTGCCATTCTTATCATTATTCATTATAATCAGAGAGGACGGCTTAGAGGAGGTGTCATTCAGTCTACGTACAATGTATGTGCACAGCCCTAAGCTAGCATTGGGGAGCTATAAAGATGAGTAAGTCATGGTCCCTGCCCTAGGGTCATAAGATCTAGTGCTGAGGAAACCTTAAAAGGTCATCTAGTACACCCTCTCCTTTCGCAGATAAGGCCACTGATTCCAAGAGAATGGAAGTGACTAGCCCAAGGTCATATGGATAGGAAGGAGTAGGTATAGCAGAAAGGATTCCAAGCCAAGTCCTCTGATCAACTCCATTGTTCTTTCCACTCTCCCAAGCTTTAACACTGAGATTTCAGTCTAGTGGAGAGGACAGCTCCCCACGTAGTCACCTAATGTGCCTCCTTAGGGACACCAAGCACCCTGGGCCAGTCACCTCTTGGAGGCAGAATCCCCCCAAAATCTCTCCCAAGCTTCATCTTCAGAGAGCTCATTCTGGTTCAGCTCTTTCATGCTTTTGGAGACTGGCAGATCCTCAGAGGTGGCAGGTGGAAGGCAGTTGTTATCTAGTGGATGAGGAAGAAAATGGTTAGAAGCCTTGCTTTCTTCTGATCCCTACTCTACCAGCTACTGTCTTGGTGACTTCAGCCAAGACCTATCTGAATCTCAGTGTCTTCACCTGTGAAATGAGACAACAATACTCCCAAAGCCTACTTGTACCTCCTAGGACTGTTGTAAGAAAATCACTCGGTAAATCCTAAGGAGCTGCAATAATTTAAGCTGTCATTATTAGCCATCATTCAATCTTTCAGGACCTCAGTTACCCATGCTGCAAAGTGAGGGAGTTGGAGTAAATGGTCTCTAATGCCCCTCTCCCCTCTGACATTCCCTGTTCTAAGTCCCTCCCAGCTCTAACATTCCATATTCTAAGGGTCCTTTCTTCCTCTGACATTCCATATTCTAAGGGTCCCTCCCACCTCTGACATTCCCTGTTCTAAGTCCCTTCCACCTCTGACATTCCCTGTTCTAAGTCCCTCCCAGCTCTGACATTCCATGTTCTAAGGGTCCCTCCCAGTTCTAACATTCCATGTTCTAAGGGTCCTTCCTCCCTCTGACATTCCATGTTCTAAGGGTCCCTCCCAGATCTAACCTTCCTTGTTCTCAGGCCCCTCCCAACTCAGACACTCTGTGATTCTGTGACTCTGAGTCCAGAGTGGCACCTCTCAGGGTGGAGACTCTGTGGTCTCTAAAAAATGTTGGAAACTTGGATTTGAATCCTAGCTCTGACATAGCCAGCTGTGTGGCCCTGGGC